CAACCATCCACCCATCCATCCATCCATCCCCCCAACCATCCATCTATACACCCAACCATCCATCCACCCATCCCCCCACCCATCCACCCAACCACCCACCCATCCACCCACCCATCCACCCAACCACCCATCCATCCACCCACCCATCCACCCAACCACCCATCCATCCACCCACCCATCCACCCATCCACCCATCCATCCACCCATCCACAAACCCATCCACCCATTCCAAAATTTGCCGGAGACCAACCCCCATTCCAAATAATTCCCAAACAACCCTAGACATCATTATAAGCACATCATTAAAATGTTCTTAGAGAGTATCCTCACATGTAACAGATGGGTGGTCAGATAGTAGACATGTAACAGATGGGTGGTCAGATAGTAAACATGTAACAGATGGGTGGTCAGATAGTAAACATGTAACAGATGGGTGGTCAGATAGTAAGACACTGGTTTTGGGCAACCATCCTGGTAACTCATACGATTTATTCAATACAGTGAAACGAAAAAATGGTAAATTTAAATCATATTACGTCCATCTGTCAGACATAAATAAGCAAAACCAATTTAAAAAATAAACACAACTCATCTAATTTATCAACCCTTTAATATTTTGTTGCGAGAACGCCTCACAGACAGGAGAGTTCGCAGTGTAACCACAAATAATTAATTTAGTTTTGTACCCCTTATGCGCCAGAACGATTGTCAATGTCCTGGAGTTAAATCTGAACAAAAAAAAAATGGCCACATTGGTGAAACGCGTTAAGAGAACACGAAATTGAAATATTTTACATCTGTCAGGTTGTCCCTACAACCGTTTGTATTGTGGTGCACCTTTTCCGTTCATTGTGTGGCACCGCTTGCTGTATGTGGCACCCCTTGCTGTATGTGGTACCCCTGGCCATTATGTGGAAACTCGTTTAGCTTATTTCTATATCTCTTTACTCTTAAGGAACGTATCACTTCTCTCAATATACTGCACAAGTGCATTCAATGAACCAGTGATCCTCAAACTTGCGCTGCACAAGTACATTCAATGAACCAGTGATCCTCAAACTTGCGAAATCGTATCTCTCCATATATTGTAGAATCCAAATAACATGGGTTTTCAAAATATCCCTATCACATCTCTAAATGTACTGTACACTGAAAACATCAGGAGTCCTTAAAATTGTACTCTCACATCTCTGAATATATTGTACACTGAAAACATCAGGAGTCCTTAAAATTGTACTCTCACATCTCTGAATATATTGTACACTGAAAATATCAGAAGTCCTTAAAATTGTACTCTCACATCTCTGAATATATTGTACACTGAAAATATCAGAAGTCCTTAAAATTGTACTCTCACATCTCTGAATATATTGTACACTGAAAATATCCAGGGGTTCTTAAATTGGCGCTATGACATCTCTCAATATAGTTTACACTGCAAATAACCATAGGTCCTCAAACTTGTACTGAATATATTGTACACACTAGAAACAGAATCTTCAAGTTTTTCCCGCCCGAGGGCACAATGAACGAAAAGCTGATGTAGCCATCACTTCCTTTGAATTTTTGTGTCCCGTGGAGCAGTGTTTGAGGATCACTGATTTAAAAAAAAAAATAATATTAATTCTAATTATTTATTATAAACTCGCGTGACCTGAGACGGATAATGGAAGGGAAATGCAGAGTTCCCATGGGTCACCATATGTAACATCATTTTGGAAATAATAGAATATCGTCGAAATTTAATCATCCGAATCTGGGCACCTTACGATCATATGACTGCATACAATCATATGACTGCATAAAACCATATGACTGCATACAACCATATGACTGCATACAACCATATGACTGCGTACAACCATTTGACTGCATACAACCATATGACTGGATACAACCATATGACTGCATACCACCATATGACTGCATACAACCATATGACTGCATATAATCATATGACTGCATACAACCATATGACTGCATACAACCATATGACTGCATACAACCATATGACTGCATACAACCATATGCCTGCATATAACCATATGACTGCATACAACCATATGTCTCTCACAATGTTCTAAATGAATCACTTCACACATACCGACACCAATCCAACAAATCATTGTTAAACACTGATTCAACCACCGAAAGCTGACGCATCATGTTTCTAGTGTTCGTTGTAACAATCATTGATGTACCTGAAATGATTTAACGATAGTCTACTAACACTATAGAATAAGTTACAGGGATTGACAGGGTGACATCGCTTTAACAGTAGCATCTGTTCCGTGTCACCTTGACCAGTCAAACATTGGCGTGACTTTTCATCAACTTGGATAAAACATTCGGCAACTTTTGACACTCCGTGAACTTGATGACGCCGAAGACATGGTCAAAGCAGTACAACCCGGCAACCGGAACCACTGTCGTGAACTTGACGTGCAGCTGGCACAAAATTGCGTTGTTGCCCGGGCTGACGATGGCGAACAGACGTCTCATGGCGTCGAAGTAAAAACCCAGCTTAACGGTCTTCTCGGTCTCCTGGTCAAGGTCAAGGACGGGAATGCTGCGTGGTAAGGTGTCCCTGTTCGCACCGTTCCAAAACTCGAGCGCGATCTTATTGTTCCTGCGCACCAGATATGCGCAGCAAGCTTTGGCGTTGTCACAGAGCAGTGCGGAGTCGTTCTCCGAACCCTGCTTGCAGATGCCGATGTCACACAGAAGTTTCGAGTTGCCCAGTTTGCCGAACACGTGGAAGTGAATGACAGACTCCCAGTAAACGTGAGGTAGGAGGGGGATGCATTCGTCAGCCGTGGCGCCCTCGAGAGCCTCCAGGCGCTGGAAGCTGGTCGTGACTGGGCATGCGTTGTGAAGGTTGGCAAGTTTGCACTTCCGGTGTACAATCTCGTCCCTGCCAGATAGGATGGCGATTTTCTTGTGGCAAGTCGCAGGGTTGAACCTCGCTTTGAAACCTGGACAGTGACCAGGAGTTAAAAAATACATAAATTTATTTTGAGAATTTTTTGGTTATTTCAATTTCTTCTAAGGCTATTCAATACTAAAAACTGTATCTTATTATTGTATGATTTATGGCATTGTCATATGTGCTTAATATAACAATGCAACTGAAAAGCGAACAGTGAACAGGAACAAGCCTTGCCATATAAACAAGTATACTGATGCGTTTCACAAATCTAATGTAGATGGGAGATTATCACTGTTATATGTAAGGTTAGAGACTGGTTCATTTACAATTTTGTTTCCCCTTAATAAACTAGATCCCTGAGGACCATCATGCTACAACTAAACTGAATTACTTACAATGAACGTATGGCAGTGTTCTAATGCCCCGCCCCACGATTGGGTAGTTGGCACCCTCGGCCGTGCTACATTCTAGAGTCACGTGACATTCCGTCTCAGCCCAGGGCAGCGCGAGCAGATATGACGTCATGCTTCCCGCCAGTTCAACAGTTGTAATGACGTCATGACCCCTCACGTCTTTCATCTTGGCACAGATTCTGAAATGTCAAATATTTTACCGAATTACCAAATATTTCCCTGAATTTTCAAATATTTTGCTGAATTATGAAATTAATCAACATTTTACTGAATTATCAAATATATTACTGAATTATCAAATATTTTACTGAATCAAGAAAGTTTTCTATTTATTTAATCTTTACATTAAAGATGGCGAAATTCAAATGTATTTGGAGTTGCAGAAAACAATATCAAGGTTATCTATATTATCAAAAAGTAAAGAAGTGTACTACAAGCTTCTAAGGTCAAGGTTATTGAATGAAAACTATCCTTTCAGTGATTACAAGAGGACTGGACATTTCAATCATATTTGTTCGCAGTGAAACCACAATTTTATTTTCACTCACCTAATTTTACCAGCATCACCGATTGCCCTATGCGTCATTTCCCCTCCCCCACTCAAATGATTTTACTGGCGTCACCGATTGCCCTAAGCGACATTCCCCCTCACCCACTTACTTGATCTTACTGGCGTCACTGATCGCCCTCCAGGTCAGTTCTACCAATGCCGGGCCACCAGACACGGGTCTGTGAACGATCTCTGTGAACACTGGACTCAGCAGTTCTGGAACGGACATCAAAAGTTGCCGATACTTCTCTTGTAATCGTACATTTAATTTTCAAAGTGTTTATAAATTATCTTTCCTTGACTGAGCTGCTGTAGAATTATTTGTAACTTTCCACAAGTCATAAACATGATGACATTGATATGTTTATTTTGCCTTTAAAATGTAATGTATCCCACATAGCCTTATTTGATATTGAATTCAAAGAGAGTCAACTCAAAACATTTCTAGTTGAGCTCTCTCCCTTTTATGAAGTTTCCCTTATTAACACGTTTAAAAAAAAAATGTAATATATTGAAATAAAAGTCAATCGACATTGTACTATTCTGGTGTTTGGAAAGCTTTCAGTTTGAAGGTGAAAGGGACAAAACAAGACAGAAAAATAGATGATATTATCATCTCTACTAGACTAAATGTCAAATCTCTAACTCTTCTAGACTAACTGTTGTCAAATCTCTAACTCTACTAGACTAAATGTTGTCAAATCTCTAACTCTACTAGACTAAATGTTGTCAAATCTCTAACTCTACTAGACTAACTTGTCAAATCTCTAACTCTACTAGACTAACTGTTGTCAAATCTCTAACTCTACTAGACTAAATGTTGTCAAATCTCTAACTCTACTAGACTAAATGTTGTCAAATCTCTAACTCTACTAGACTAAATGTTGTCAAATCTCTAACTCTACTAGACTAAATGTTGTCAAGTCTCTAACTCTACTAGACTAAATGTTGTCAAATCTCTAACTCTACTAGACTAATGTTGTCAAATCTCTAACTCTACTAGACTAAATGTTGTCAAATCTCTAACTCTACTAGACTAAATGTTGTCAAATCTCTAACTCTACTAGACTAAATGTTGTCATAATGTCAACTTTTGACTAACTGTTGAATTCCTTGACAAAGTCCAGAGATGCCACACATTTGACCACATCGACGTCACCGAGTTTGGGCTGCCTGGGAATCATCTTAGCCTTCATGGTCAGTGACCTTGACTGGACGGCCGTCACTCTGGTCATTTAGGTGAAGGGGGCGGTGGGGGGAATTTTGAGTAAAAAATTTTTACTTGACGAGTACTGTCTGGATGATATGACAAGAACGGCTGGGGGATAAAACAAATACTGTCTGGATGATATGACAAGAACGGCTGGGGGATATAACAACTACTGTCTGGATGAGATGACAAGAACGGCTGGGGGATATAACAAATACTGTCTGGATGAGATGACAAGAACGGCTGGGTGATATAACAAATACTGTCTGGATGAGATGACAAGAACGGCTGGGGGATATAACAAATACTGTCTGCATGAGATGACAAGAAACGGCTGGATGATATAAAAATTACTGTCTGGATGAGATGACAACTACTGGCTGGATGAGATGACACGTACTGGCGGGATGATATGACAAGAACTAACTGGTTAAGATGAGAAGTACTGTCTGGATGAGATGACAAGCACTGTCTGGATGAGATGACAAGCACTGGCTGGATGAGATGACAAGTACTGGCTGGATGAGATGACAAGTACTGGCTGAATGAGATGACAAGCACTGGCTGGATGAGATGACAAGCACTGGCTGGATGAGATGACAAGTATTGACTGGATGAGATAATAATGACTTTTGATAATTTTGTTTATGGAAGGTATACAACATAAAGTTTTAGGAGAATGAAATATTATATAATATTGTCATTAATGTGCCATTATTTAATTAGCCAGGAAACGTGGTAGCCATGTGATGTAAATGTTACATTACGTGTCGAGTCAAAGAACACAATCAAACAGCAGTTACTGTAAGACAAAGAACCTAATTTAAAAGTAGTTACAATAAGACAAAGAACCCAATCTAAAAGTATATACAGTAATCAATAAGACAATACAACCAATCAGATTTAAACCTAGGTGCTTACCTCTCTTGTAGAGATGCGATGTCCTGAAATAAACCGTGTAAAAAGAAGCGTATCAGACGTATGTTGTACACACATGGGATCATGAGACGTATGTTGTACACACATGGGATCATGAGACGTATGTTGTACACACATGGGATCATGAGACGCATGTTGTACACACATGGGATCATGAGACGTATGTTGTACACACATGGGATCATGAGACGTATGTTGTACACACATGGGATCATGAGACGTATGTTGTACACACATGGGATCATGAGACGTATGTTGTACACACATGGGATCATGAGACGTATGGTGTACACACATGGGATCATGAGACGTATGTTGTACACACATGGGATCATGAGACGTATGGTGTACACACATGGGATCATGAGACGTATGTTTTACACACATGGGATCATGAGACGTATGGTGTACACACATGGGATCATGAGACGTATGTTATACACACATGGGATCATTAGACGTATGTTTTACACACATGGGATCATGAGACGTATGGTGTACACACATGGGATCATGAGACGTATGGTGTACACACATGGGATCATGAGACGTATGTTTTACACACATGGGATCATGAGACGTATGTTTTACACACATGGGATCATGAGACGTATGTTTTACACACATGGGATCATGAGACGTATGTTGTACACACATGGGATCATGAGACGTATGTTGTACACATAACTGATGATAAGACATATGTTGTACACATATCAATTTAATGATAAATTAAATGGACTGTTGAACTGAGACTAAGACTTTGTGTAAAGTCTGGCGTACATTCTATAACATTGCAATGTTCATTGCCCGATTTGGAAAACCACATGTCATAGTTGAAGATCTCTTCGTAAACTTTTTAACGTGTTCCTTACTTGAAACACAAAAAAATGAGCATGGAAGACAATTTGGGTAGCAGAACCAATTAAACATGGAGACTCGACTTTACAGCCAATCTATTTTTCCTCGCTCATGTAAACCTTGTAATGTAAAGTTTACGTCTTGCTTTGTTATTGGTAAGACATCTAGGCACAGATATGAAATACGATGTCAGTATTTCAAGATGACCCAACATCCATAAGTTGTAAATAGATATAAGTGGTCATGTCAGTATTTCAAGATTGAACAACATCCTTGATGACTTGTAATGACTAGTTTACTTAATTCAATAAAAATGACTTTGCCTTGCAGTGTAATAGGAGACATTTTCATTAAAACCGTATTTGTCCTCCTATCTTTATTATTAAAGTGATTTCTTTTCAAAATGCCGTTTTTATTTCTACTACTATCCAAGCAGATCTAAGATAGAAGAGGAAGGTGAGATAAATAAAATCCTCAACAAGAATTACTTTATCATGTGACTATGCTACGTAAAATATTTACGAGTTATTTAATGGTATTCTTTTAAATGAACATGGGGGAAGTCAACAGAAATCAACGAGGGGCAGATCATCGCTGAGCACAGTTCCAGCTTGGGAGCAGCAGTGTATGACAAGCCCTTGAACGAGGGGCAGATCATCGCTGAGCACAGTTCCAGCTGGGGAGCAGCAGTGTATGACAAGCCCTTGCTACAAAGAGAACAATACGGAAGACCCCGTTGAACTATAAGTCAAAGTTCTCCTGCGAGAAATGAAGCCGAGACTTTCATGCCAGGATCGGCCTCGTGTGCCATTTCATGAAGCGTCAATAGTTAATCCATTATCTGGCAAAGTCGGAATGATGCCATTTATCTATTCATGAAAATCCCAGAGTTAGGACAGTTGGTGGAGGGCAAGGGTTGGGGAGGAATAAATTCAGTCAAACATAACATTTGAGTGGGAGCAAAATATTAAGAATTGGTACCAAGAATTGTGTTATGTATGAAATTGTCTAACATATTATGCGCCGTGAAAGGGGGTCTAGAAAGTCCTTGTTCGATACTAAACATTGTGTTTACTTAAAGGTCGTCGAAGTCTTCTTCTTCTTCTTCTTCTATATTTTGAGGGACCACGATCAATGTATTGATCACTCAGCTCCAAGAAAAGAAATAGGAGCATATTGAATTACGATTATAAATGAATTGAAACCATTCATAAAACACATTGTATCATTTGAGTTAGGCAACTTTTAGGCAATCGTAGATTTAAAAATAATTGACCAGTAACTGTTAGTCCTTGCTAAAAAATAATTGACCAGTTAGTCCTTGCTAAAAAATAAATCTTTGTCGTCATCAAATACGCTTATTTTTATTCTGTACAATTATTATTAAAGCTTATCTTATATTGTTGTATTGACACAGAAGCTTATCTTATATTGTTGTATTGACGAAGAAGCTTATCTTATATTGTTGTATTGACACAGAAGCTTATCTTATATTGTTGTATTGACACAGAAGCTTATCTTATATTGTTGTATTGACACAGAAGCTTATCTTATATTGTTGTATTGACACAGAAGCTTATTTTATATTGTTGTATTGACACAGAAGCTTATCTTATATTGTTGTATTGACACAGAAGCTTATCTTATATTGTTGTATTGACACAGAAGCATATCTTATATTGTTGTATTGAAACAGAAGCTTATCTTATATTGTTGTATTGACACAGAAGCTTATCTTATATTGTTGTATTGACACAGAAGCTTATCTTATATTGTTGTATTGACACAGAAGCTTATCTTATATTGTTGTATTGACACAGAAGCTTATCTTATATTGTTGTATTGACACAGAAGCTTATCTTATATTGTTGTATTGACACAGAAGCTTATCTTATATTGTTGTATTGACACAGAAGCTTATCTTATATTGTTGTATTGACACAGAAGCATATCTTATATTGTTGTATTGAAACAGAAGCTTATCTTATATTGTTGTATTGACACAGAAGCTTACCTTATATTGTTGTATTAACACAGAAGCTTATCTTATATTGTTGTATTAACACAGAAGCTTATCTTATATTGTTGTATTAACACAGAAGCTTACCTTATATTGTTGTATTGACACAGAAGCTTAACTTATATTGTTGTATTAACACAGAAGCTTATCTTATATTGTTGTATTGACACAGAAGCTTACCTTATATTGTTATATTGACACAGAAGCTTACCTTATATTGTTGTATTGACACAGAAGCTTACCTTATATTGTTGTATTGACACAGAAGCTTATCTTATATTGTTATATTGACACAGATTGTTGGTGTCTAATTAATTCATTTTATTAGGAGTATATTCTCTCCTTAAAGGATGATTTTACATTTAATGATAATCAACTTCCACAGAGGTTTGTGAGACTTGCTGTGGTGACAAAACTTATATCACTTGCATTACGTCCATCACTTCAACTACGTCCATCAATTACACTACGTCCATCACTTACATTACGTCCATCACTTACATTACGTCCTTCACTTACATTACTGTTACAATCTTCTTCGTAACTTCGTAACTTCAAATGTTACGACCTTAATTCAGTAAGCTGAGGCCTTCATCAAATGTCGCGGCCTTCTTATGTTGTCTCCAGTTGCGACATTCTCAATACTTGACATGTTAGGATCTTCGTCCTTACACTTCAACACATCCCGCAGTAGTTACGTTTACTGCACAGTCAGCAGACTCCACGTCTTCTAGGGGTTTACAACACTTTCTTCACATCTATACATACATCACACCTCCAGCATGGAAATACAACAGTTCTTTATTTACAGGATCCAATAGCAATTCACAGTGACGACGTTCAACAGCGATAATACTAACTCTCTAACTATTGTCTCGGCTGGACTCTGACTGTCTAACCCTCTCCCTGTCTCTCACTGACTCGGACTCTTACTAACTCTGAACTCTAGCCAACACACATCCCTTTTATAAAACCACCCAACAACTCAGCCTACACAAACGTGCAACACCACGAACTAACTTCACGCTCTGACCTCTCGACCAACAACTCACAAAACACTCCCACGATCCACAACTCCCCCTACCCAACATTCACAACAACTCTCGCTCACAACAATTACGTCCATCACTTCCACTACGCCCTTCATATTCTTCTCATGATTCTACTTTCAACTTACATTGCTTACGTCAGTCCCCG